AGAGCTGCTCATTGTTCAACCGATTGGAAACTCATATTTCAGGGAATTGAAGAAAGAGAGAGTTGCAGATCTGTCTTTCTAAACTGTTAGCCGAATAATTATCTTCTTACACAGAATTAGAAATCTCTCTGGCTTAAGTCTCTTGGTATCAGCTACTGATTTCACTTTTGGAAAGAAAGATATTAGATATTTAGAGAGTCAGTTTGATGTAGTGATTGAAGTGCTGGCCTAGCAACCAGAAGACTGTGAGTTCTAGTTCCACTTTAGCCACGAAAGCTGGTCGGGTGACTTTGGACTAGTCCTATCATGGCGAACCTATGGCATGTGTGCCACAGGTGGTAACGGAGCCATATCTGTGGGCACGTGAGCATTGCCCTAGTTCAGCTCCAGCGCTGGCCACCTGATTTTCGGGCCTTCCGGTCCCACCGGAAGTTGGGAAAAAGGCTGTTTCTGGCCTCCGGAGTGCCTCTGAGTGGGTGGGGAAGGCTGTTTTTGCCCTCCCCAGACTCCAAGAAAGCCTCTGGAGCCTGGGGAGAGTGAAAAACAGGCCTACCGGGCCCACTGTGTCATCATGTGTCAAAAGTGGGGGGAGTGTGTGGGGGTCACACATGCATGCATGGTGGGTGTGAGGCACATTGAATTATGGGTGTGGGCACGCACATGTGTGACCCCCCCACGCGATCCCCACTTTTGGCACGAGACAGCAAAAAGGTTAGCCATCACTGACACTAGTCACTCTCTCTCAGCCCAATTCATCTCACTAGGTCCCTGTTGTGGGGGAAAACAGGAGGAGGAAGGAGTATTATGTATATTTGCTACTTGGAGAAACGTATAAAGTAATGCAGGCAGTATAAAAATCTAACAAATAAACAATTCGCTTTCCAAGATTTTATACCTCAAATTCCTTCCGAAAAGAAGTGGGTAAGTGGATCTGCAGGAACTCAAAATAACAAGTTGGATGACATGGCATCTCTCATCTTTGTTTGTGGCCTTCAAATTCCAAAATTCTCTCCCAGTTAGTCCACCGGTTTCCTTATCCTTTCCAACCAAATGCCACATACTGTAGTCCTTTCTGGCTAAAAAAATACTACCTAATAGAGCTCTATCGAGTTTTTACATAAGCATATTTTATGCTGTATTTCAGCCCTTAATGTTGCCTCCTAAACTTCAAAGACCAGTCAAAGTGAGAGTCCATCCTCGCATTAGACAAACGGAGAATTCTCTTGCCAATTATGCATTTAATTAACAGCTCTGGAATTCAAAGCTCCCCTTAGTAATTTTGTTATTGTTGTTGACTGATTAGTTACGGGACACAAATGCATGCTTCTATTAGCCTATCTGATTTGTTTATTTTTTCTGTTTAAGGTTAATAAGCTCATTGGCATTCTGTACATTGCAACCATACTTTTGCTTTTAATTTGCAGAGTGGAGGTCTTTCAGTGTTTTGTCTTTATCAGCCTTCTGTTCTAACGATTGTCACTCTTCCTTTTTACAGGTGGTACTATTTTTGCGTCGATTACAAATCAAGGATTTTCTATCCTTTGGCCACAGAAAACTCCCTACCTTGTAGAGATCCATCTAAAAGTGCCGGCATGCCTGAAATGAAGCATAGCTCAAAGAACATATCACTTTCCTTTCATCGGAGCATTTCAAGAAAACTCCGAAATTGCATTCTGTCGGGCACCTTGTCTGCTGTGAATGATTCTGTCATCAAGAAACCTCATTACATTTCTGAGTTCCATAAGACTCAGCCTGCAAATAACCACTTGGTTTCATTCATTTGTTGATCAGCTGCAGGTATTTCATTCAAGTCCAATGAATTAGAATATCTCACGACATAGCTAGATGATTGTCTGTAGAGATTCACAGTCATCCAGGTCATGGTTTGTCCCAAAGGTGCTTTTTCAGGAGTCAACTGACGTTTCTTGTTTTTCCTTTTGAAGATGTTTCACTTCTCTTCCAAGAAACTTCTTCAACTCTGACAGGATAATGGGGAATGGAAGGATTTAAATTCCTTGCAGACAGTTGGTCATTTGCATCCTTTTAAAGGGTCATTGAAGCACTTGGAGGTTTATCTGTGTCCTCAGGGTCACCTGAGTGGTGCTTCTGGTTCCTGTAGTCTGCAATTTTTCCTCTGGAAATCCATTCCTACTCCCACACCATTCCAAATGTGTTCATCCCAAATTGTATAGTTAAATGTCTGTAGAGATTCTCAGTCATCCATGAAAAATCTTTCAGGACCAACCTATGATCACTAGCCACGGTCATCCCTACCTTCAAAAAGGATGACCCCAGCCTATTTGAAAATTACAGACCAATCTCTTTATGTTGCGTCACCTACAAAGTCATGGAATCAATCATAAACCATTACCCTCCACTTAGGGACAAACAACCTACTCTCTAACAAACAATTTGGTTTCAGGAAAAATTTGTCCTATAATCTGCAACTCCTACACTGAAAAAACATATGGACTACCGAACTCAACCAGGGCAAAGCAATAGACACAATTTACATAGACTTCGGTAAAGCCTTTGATTCAGTGGTACATGACAAACTACTTCTAAAACTAAAATCTTATGGCATTTCCGGATCCCTGCATAAGTGGATAGCTGCATTCCTGTCAAACAGACAACAAGTAGTCAAAATAGGGAGTCCCCTTTCAAATCCTGCACCTGTTAACAGTGGTGTCCCCAAGGCAGCATTTTAGGACCCACACTCTTTATACTTTACATAAATGACCATATTATAAACAACTATGTTCTCTTCACTGATGATGTAAAACTATTCAACACCACTGACAATCTACTGCCCTACAAAGAGTCCTTGACTGTGTGTCAGAATTGTCAAACAATTGGCAACTCCAAATCTTAACCAACAAATGCTTTGTCTTACACATTGGCAAACATCATTGCCAAAAAGGCATTAAGAGTTGCTAACCTAATCTTGCGAAGCTTCTTCTCTGGTAATATTGTACTGCAAACTAGGGCATACAAAATCTTTGCTAGACCAATTCTGGAATACAGCTCATCTGTCTGGAACCCGCACATCGGACATTAATACAATTGAGTAAGTCCAGAGAAATTCCACAAGAAGAGTCCTCCACTCCTCTGCTCACAACAGAATACCTTATGACACCAGTCTTGAAATTTTGGGCTTAGACAACTTAGAACTACGCCGCCTTCGGTCTGACCTAAGCATAGTACACCAAATTATCTGCTACAATGTCCTACCTGTCAATGACTACTTCAGCTTCAACCGCAACAATACACAAGCACACAATAGATACAAATTTAAGGTAAACTGCTCCAAACTCGATTGAAAAAAATATGACTTCAGCAACAGAGTAGTCAATGCCTGGAATGCACTACCTGACTCTGTGGTCTCATCCCCAAACCCCCAAAACTTTAACCTTAGATTGTCTACTGTTGACCTCACCCCATTCCTAAGAGGTCTGTAAGGGGCGTGCATAGGAACACCAACGTGCCTACCATCCCTGTCCTAATATTCCTTTTTACTCGTATCCATTTCCTGCATTCATAATCATGTTAGATATATACTTACATCTGTTATATTTCTTTTTCTTTTTTGTAGGCTTTTATGTGCATATTCTTTCTAGCCAGGTTTTACCTATGTAAACTAAGATGTTCTGCAGCCCTGGTTCTGTGAAATCTCATTCACAAGTTTCTGGGCTTTTTGTATCTTGCTGACAAACAGCAACTCTGTGCTGCTCATTGGCTCATTATATCTGTTATCTTATACATGCTTGACAAATAAATAAATAAATAAATAAATAAATAAATAAATAAATAAATAAATAATAAATGCTTGTCCCAAAGGTGCTTTTTCAGGAGGCAACTGGGCTTTTGTTAAAACTAAACTAAACTAAACTAAACTAAACTAAACTAAACTAAACTAAACTAAACTAAACTAAACTAAACTAAACTAAACTAAACTAAACTAAACTAAACTAAACTAAATTCCAGGAACATCTTGATGATTGGATAGTCTCCAGCAAGGTTCGTTTCTCTCTAATATTGGATGCATATTCTGCATATTTATCAACCGTGGCAAATTCAAGCGGTGGACTTCAACTCCCAGAATTCCCTAACCCACAGGTGTCAAACTCGATCACGTCAGTGGACGTATCGTGATGTATCGTGACATTTTTTTGCCTTTGCGGAGCCAGGGTGGGTGTGGCCTGCGCATGACGCATCCGGCCCATGGACCACCAGTTTGACAGGCCTGCCCTAACCAGTATCCCAGCTTGGGAATTCTGGAAGTGGAAGTCCCTATACCCTAAAGTTAGCAGGACTGAAACAAGGTTCTAGAGCAAGGGTGGGGAACAATGGCCATGCTGGTTTAGGAATCCTGGGAGTTGAAGTCCACAAGTCATAAAGGGGCATTCATTCCCTACCTCTTTTTCCAGAGGATGAAGCAAAGATGGCAGCATCTAGCCAAGCTCGTCTGAGATTGCAAGCTAAGCAGGGTCAGCACTGTTGAGCGCTTGGCTGAGAGCCATCCAAGAAAGATTAAGACCATAAACTAGAGAGGAATCCTGGAAAAAAAAAACCCCACTAGAAGGCAGTGGCCAAACACTTGTCTGCATTATTACCAAGAAAACTGCTCGGCCATAAAATCTTTAGGCAGGGGTCTGCAACCTTAAACACTCAAAGAGACATTTGGATCCGTTTCCCACAGGAAAAAAAAAAAACACCGGGAGCCACAAAACCTGGGTGGGCGTGGCCAACTCCACATCATTCACTTCCACTAGTCACCTGGCCCCCCCCTAGCCACGCCTACCCAGCCGGTCAACAGGGCAGAGAACCAATTGTTAAAAAACACCAGGAACCACAAAACCCTTTTGACATCTCTCTCCCTCCCTCCCTCCCTCCCTCCCTTCCTCCCTCCCTCTCTCCCTCCCTCCCCCCTCTCTCTGTATCTCCCTGTATCTCCCTGTCTCTGCTCCAGCCGCTTCTCCATCCCCCACCGTCGCCCTTACCTTCTCAAGCCAGGTGAGGAATGACTGGGAGGGGAGGGTGAGGGACGGGGCCAGCCAGTGGTGGGATCACCTGACAGGGAGCCACAACAGAGGGCTCAAAGAGCCGCATGCAGCTCCGGAGCCGCAGGTTGCTGACCCCTGTTCTTAGGGAATCAAAGGCTATTTACTTTTTAAAGCTGTCAGTAAAAAAAAAAAAAAAAGAGTAAAGTTGCATTTCTGCAACCAGCTGGTGCACAATCTCTCCTCATCTTTTAAAATACATCACTTCTAACCCTTCGACGTTGACCGTGTTGACTGAAGCTGATGTCCGTTGAAATATTTCACATGCGGAAGGCTCCAAGTCGCTAATTCCTCCTCCAAGGACCCATTGCGCAATCCCGCCCCGTGTCACGAGAACTTGACTATTCCTGGTGGCCTCAGGCATTAACCCGAGCCTTTAGCCGTTTGGCCTCCTCCACAGTAGCCTCTTTGTTAAGACCCTCAGGTCTGAATTAATTGATTATTATGACAGTATGGCTTGCCCTTGATTCTGGCTCCCTGCCTGGCCCACTTATCTCCGAATGGGCCCTGCTCAACAGAAGCTACTATTGTTCAGTATCCTGATATTTTGTTCTAAATGAGGAACACTCACTCCAGGCTGAAATTTACTTCAGGTCAGATGGCAAAGCAGTTTGCATTGCATTTCAGGAAAGCAAAAAATAAAAAATAAAAAATTACATCCTCTTGCGTCAAAGCTTGGATGGAGACAATGCTCCAGGAGGAGCATTTCAAAACAAGGCAAACAATATCGCAGGTCTTCCTTGACCCTCCCGGAACTCTACAGATTACAGAGAGACTACGCTTTCCCAGTCACGAGATTGGCCCGTACCTGGAAGGCAAAAGTTGGAGGATGCTTCAAATGAGACCCAGAGAACAAGGGACCGTAGGAGGGTTTAGTTTTCAATGGTTTTCATATGCTCAATTAAGAGAGAGATTTAATGTAGATAAAAAAAGTAATTGGAAAGGAAACCTTACAATGGAATCTGTAATTAACGGGGACAAAGGATGAACATTTGCTTGCTAAAATGTCTGGACTCCTGCTGAGATTTGGAACAAAAAAGAATCTGGCAGGGATCATGGAAACCTTCTCTTCTCTTCTCTTCTCTTCTCTTCTCTTCTCTTCTCTTCTCTTCTCTTCTCTTCTCCTCTCCTCTCCTCTCCTCTCCTCTCCTCTCCTCTCCTCTCCTCTCCCCTCCCCTTCCCTTCCCCTCCATTCTCTCTTCCCTTTGCTTCCCTTTGTTTCACTTCCCCTTCCAGCATGCAGGTAAGTGGCTGGTGCTGCTGGGTGGGGGAGGAAATGAAGGATTGCAAGACAGGCTTGGAAACTGTCACGGAATGTTGAAAATAAAGGTCACATGACCATGGCAGCAGCACAGAAGCAGATGTAGCACTGTAGCCGAAACTGCCACAATCTCCCCAAATTTCAATCCCTCAAAAGACCCAGAGTTTAGATGCATTCTGTAATTTAATAGATTTGAAGTAGCATGATTCAAAAATTGTTGCTGTATGACGCACCATTTCTCATGGCAACATGACTTTTAGTAGGCTACAGCTCTGTGGTGAAATTCAATTTTTTTTTACTACAGGTTCTGTGGGCGTGGCTTGGTGGGCGTGGCAGGGGAAGGATACTGCAAAATCTTCATTCCCACCCCACTCCTGGGGGAAGGATATTGTAAAATCTCCATTCCACCCCACTCTGGGCCAGCCAGGGGTGGTATTTGCCAGTTCTCCAAACTACACAAAATTTCCATTACTGGTTCTCCAGAACCTGTCAGAACCTGCTGGATTTCACCCCTGCTACAGTTATAGAAAAAGAAATATATGCGAGTTCAAATCTCACCAGGCTCAAGGTTGACTCAGCCTTCCATCCTTCCGAGGTTGGTAAAATGAGGACCCAGATTGTGGGGGCAATAAGCTGACTGTATATAAAAGAACACCACTTAGGGGAGGCCGAAAGGCCTGCTAAGGAGGTATATACAAAAAGTATGAAGGCTATTGCTTAACGCATTGTAAGCCGCCCTGAGTCTTGGAGAAGGGCGGCATATAAATCGAACCAATAAATAAATAAATATGTTTGAGGTCGATTTTATTAGTGGAACACTACAGCAAAAATATCCTGATAAGTGAAAATGCAGGTGTTCTGATTACAGCCATCTCTGGTGGAATTGGTTAATGGTCCTTCTCTAATCTGATAATCTCCAGATGTTGCAGTGTACTTTCCATAATTTCCACTCAGCATGGCCTCCAGTTACATCTCAACCAGGCACCTCATTAGGAAAGTCTGGGTTTGGATAATATCATGCCACAATTGCTGTTAAGATAAATCCATCAATTTGTGCTCATAGATAATTGTGGGTCACGATCGTGGTTTTCTCACTAACAAGCACACTGAACTTGATAGAGATTAATCCACAGTGAGATTACAGTTCTAGGTGTTGAAGACAAAAAAAAAGAAATATTTCCAAAGGATCATCTTTCATCTCTCCCGCAGGAATTTGGTAAAAGATGAATTCAGGCTTCTAGAAAACATTCCCACTAGGGAACATCTTAACTCTTTGACCTCTTAACTCCTCTAGTTAGCCTTCCATAACTAGGCCGTGGTGCCTGGAGATTCTGAGGACTGCTGTCTAAAAAAACACATCTGGAAGATGCCAAATTGGGAAACCAGTAGAATGGAAAGCAAGGCAGTGTGCAAAAATGCATGCAATTGTGTAAGTTTCTCCCCTCCAAGAAATCTTGACATACAATAGTCTGTGGAAACTTACACTGAAAAAACAAAGGATTTGGGAATGTAGAAAGTTAGCACCCACCCCTCTCCTAGAAGAATGAAACATTTTGAGAAATATTAAAAAGGCAGAATATTATATTCCCCTGAGTGAGAAATGGAGAAACATGCTCTGGGAAAGCAGCCCCCATCTTTCTTAACAGCCCCCAGCAGATATTTTTTTGCCCATTAAGAAAGACTGGGCCATCCTATCTACAAAACAACAGACCTTCAGATCCAGGATGATGGGATTAAGACATGACCCTTCAGGACATAATAGGATTAGCCCACTAGCAGTAGAGCTCACCACATCGCACAATCTCCTAAGGACATTGCATCAGAGTCCAAACTTCAACCAAACCGGAGAGCCCAGACAACCTACAGAGCCAGCTACAACCCCTACAACAGCCAATAGAATACCTCTTCTTGCACAGGAACAGGAAGTTCGAGTGCAAAGCCCAAGAGAAGGTATAAATACCCCTCACTCTCAACTCCATGTGGTCAGCTGCTCAGGACCTCAAACCCATGTGGTTCTGCTTCATCCTTAAACCATCTTTCCAATCAGCCTCCATGTTTTTTTGTTTTTTTTAAAATTTGATTTATATGCCGCTCTTCTCCGGAGACTCAGGGCGGCTTACAATGCGCTAAGCAATAGCCTTCATTCTTTTGTATATTTATACAAAGTCAGCTTATTGCCCCCACAACTGGGTCCTCAATTTACCTACCTTAGAAAGGATGGAAGGCTGAGTCAACCTTGAGCCTGGCGAGATTCGAACCTGCAGTAATTGCAGGCAGCTGGTCTTAATAACAGGGTGCTTTAGACTACTGTACTACCAAGGCTCTTTCCATGATTCCAGTGTCTTTCTCCTGGCTTGGAAGTGAACCCAGATGGATATTTCTCCCAACAGGAGAAAGGAACATACCCCATCCTCTAGAAAAAAGGAGCCCCTCTCAAGTTTCCCATGTGGAATTTGACCCCTTACTTCCTTCTCTACTTAGGGGTTCAAGGTTTGTTCAGCTGCATTTCATCCTCTTTCACTATCGGCTTGTCCTTTTTTGATGCTCCCTATGATACAGCAACTAATTGCCATGGAGTTCTGGAACAAAGCATTCATTGTCTGCCTAACTACCTGATATCTTTGAGACAGAGCTCAAAGCAAAATCCTCAAGAGAGCAATTGTATCTTCTAAATCGGTCTTTTCCAACCACGGCCTTTCGCAAGGGTTGGGCAAAGGTACACAGCGCATTTGGGGAAACAAATATTATATCTCCTCATCGGATGTCGGTGACGTGATGAGGTATGACTTTACCGTCCAAAGGCTCCTGCATGTTGATGGACAACAGAAGAAAATATTTGTAGCTCAGGGTTGGACTGTGAAGTCCTTCGTACTCTCTTGCAGACAGATTCCTTGCAGATGTTTTGTTACCCAACTAGGTAATATAGACATTTCATTACCCAACTAGATAACATCATCAGTGCTAGAAGGGGTTTCTCAGTTTATCTCAGGGGTCAGCAACCTGCAGCTCTGGAGCCGCATGTGATTCTTTTACCCCTCTGCTGTGGCTCCCGGTCACTCAAAATATGCGTCACAACTGCCAATGTGAGACACCTGCCAGCATGCGATTTATTGAGCTTTTCAACCCCCGGTAGGCCAACCATGGATAAATTCAAGAAAAGAAAAGTTTCAGAAGAAAACCGAACGTTTAATTCAACTATAACTGCTAGTTTTGTGGCCGCTCAAGAAATAGTCAGGCACAGGAAGGGTTTTGTGGCTCCCGGTGTTTTCTTTTCTGTGGGAAATGGGTCCAAATGGCTCTTTGAGTGTTTAAGGTTGCAGACCCCTGGTTTATCTACGTGTAGTTTCCTCTGTCAGTGTTGGTGGGAATGTTCCTGGTGGTCCCTTGAATAGGCAGAAGGAACCACAGCACACAAACACACAATTATTATTATGTGTATTTTTCTCTTAAACATTATTTTTCTTCCATTTGTTTTTCTTCCTCTGTGGTGATTTTTTTTGGGGGGGGGGGGGCTTGTTTTCGTTTCATTGTGTTTTGCCTTTTTGAACTTTTGTACTTGGCAATTATCTTCCTGTCTGTTTATAGACTCAAAGCAATTTTTTTTTTAAAAAAGTGTGTTATTCAAGACCATATGGCTTGCCAATATTTTAATAACACCCCAAGATGAAGCTGAATCATTTCTTTTCCCCATCATTATGTTCTTATCACTATTAATATTTTTGGTTTGTTTAATAAACAGAGGGAAGATGCAATCTTTCATTATCAAAGGGGGAAAAAAAACCATTTTGATTTGTCTGTTTGAATAGAAATTGAGGATATTCACAGAGCGAATCAAAAAAATCAAGTGGGAAGCTGTGATCACAAAATTAAAAGTCCACTCTTTTTTTATAAGTATTGCAGGCATGTGGCTTATAAAATAAGAGATTGGGCTTTGATAATGAGAATGCAAGTGCCATCTATCTATTTTTTATTTTTACCTATTCATATATTTGTTGGTTAATTAGTTAGTTAGTTATTGCTTATTATAAGTTAGTTTGCTTATTTATTTATTTATTTATTTATTTATTTATTTATTTATTTATTTATTTATTTATGCTGCCCATCTTGTCTAGAGGTGACTCTAAAATAATACAATTCTTAATTGGAATCAGCAAAAGGTATATTCTTATATGGAACAATGGATGGAAACTGATCAAGGAGGGTGCCAATCTAGAATAAAGGAGAAATTTCCTAACACTGAGAACAATCAACCAGTGGAATTGCTTGCCTTCAGATCAGTAGTGGGTTCCTCCCGGTTTGGCCCG